TCAAGAACCTACATGAGATCTAAAGAGTTGGCCCAGAAAAGACGACGAAGAAGCGTGGAGCCCCTGCAAGACGGTCAGAGGAAGGGAGGGACATGACACATAAGTAACTGACCGGGTAGTGCTGAACTTGGCAAAGACAGGCCGGGACTGTGTGGTTGGACTAAGATTCCAAACGTCGTCCTCGTTCATGTTCATCCTGGTGCCGCGTTTGATCAAAGGGTAGACCCAACTGAATGTGACCCATTCGAAGATAGTGACATAATCTTCGGGAGAGTATTTGACATACTGCAATGCATATGCGCGCTAAGCTCCAAGCAAGGGAAAAGTCAATGAACACTCACGATGTCTTCCTTGTTTACGCGGCTGCTGGGAAGCTCCATTGGCATCGTGGACACTAGCGCGAGCTCGAAGCAGACAGCGACCAAATTGATTATCAACCCAGCGAACTGCAGACGGGACGGCCACGGTACATTGAGTATCTCGTGGTCATAGAGCGTACCACCCAGAAGTAGAATGGCAAACACGAGGTGTAAGACATATATGGCGAAGAGGTCGACGTGTGCGGTTGCCCTTGGCCAAAAGACGGGTTTGCAGACGCCATAGACCCAAGTAGCACCGATTGAAACAGCGCATACACCTATCCATACGTGCTCTCTGTCGGTGGTGAGACTGTATGCGCCAGCCGCCAGCCACAGGAGCGCTTGGACGAGTGCGATAAAAGCGAGTGCGACGGTGCGCCAGAGAGGAACGGCGTTATCGACGGCGACGATTTCTGAGGTGTCGTCTGCGAATATTTCGGTGGCTGCTGCGGCATCGAGAGCCTCGGCTTCGCGGAGGGTCAGGAAAGACTGAAAAGGAGCCGTGATATAGGTGACGAGTTTGCTAAGAGGTGCAGGAAGTGGAAACGGAATTGAGAAGATACAGAGCACAGCGACGAATATTGCGGGTGCGAGAGCAGCCCAAGAGGACCTTATGCAGGGATCAGACCAGTCAAGAGGACCGCTATCTTTGCAGAGTTGGAAGACCATTGCTGGTCAGGGTGACCTTGACGTTGGCGCAATGAATCACCTATAAAAAGCGGGCGAAGAGCGAGAAGATAAGAGTGAAGTCTTGATATATGCTACAGCGCAGCCAGGATGACTCGTTGTGGGCGGTACGGGCAGTTCCGTTCAAAAGTCTACGGATAGTAGGTATATACCCGACGACACCACATGGACGCGTCTAGGTTGAATGTGCGGGCGGATGACAAAAACAAACCGTGGATAAATCGATAACTCCCGTATGTATATATGGAGAGTTAAACGACTATGTTCCTTTGATCCTGAGACTAGTTCAGACGGTTACAAGTGTGATAGTTTGGTACAAGGTCTATGAATGCCTCGCAACACCGCCTGTCTAACCTTCCAAGTTCCCACTGCAGCGTGCCCGACCTGCTCATGATCACTTCCCTGTCACTGTCAGAACTCATTCACAGGCGAAACGGCACGCGCTGCCGAGCTGCTGTCAGCAACTCAGGAATTTTGTGGAAAGTCCATCTCTTTGCCACCAAAACTTCCGGATTGATCTCGAATCCGGGCAAAATAGCGACTGCAAATGGCTGGAAATATTATCTAATCCATCTCCATCAGTACCACATTTCGCCCTTGATATTCGCCAACAATTATCTTTTGGGTGCACCAAGCTGTCCAGCCACGGCACCTCAGAAAAACAACTCATGGAATCCCTCGACCTCAACGGACTCGCAAAATCACTCCCAGCCTCTAGCTTCGAGAAGGCAGAGAAAGAGCTGCTCAATAACTTCAAGGGTTAGCCTTTTCCGCGTTTTCTACGCTATGCTAAACCAACTAATATTATCTTGTTCAGTTGCTGCACTTAGTATCACCACCTTATACCGATCGTCCAGACATGCTTCGAAGCGAGCATACAACGCTGGCTATGCAGCCGCTTGCAAGGATCTCATGATGATGGTCCAGCAGGGCGTCTCCGCAGGTGGCATCGCCCCATCCTCCAACAACTCACACAGCTCTGAAATGACAATCGGTCGAATTCTGGACTGGGTAGAAGCGAGGATGGAAGCTGTCAAGTCGAGAGAGGAGGAAGAGGAGGAGGATGAAGAGCGCGAGAAGGAAAAGGAACGAGCAAGGGCTACACCTCCTGTTGCTGCCTCCTCACACACCGATGTACCCAAAGACAACGTCGCTGCTGATACCTTCCCCTCTAGCACGTCTCAGAAACCTCCACAGACAGCGTCCACTTCGTATAGACCAGATGACGTTGCTGTAAGATATCGTTTATCGAATAATCTTTTTGCTTGACTCATTTCAAACCCTAGACGGGTCCCGCCCCACTCACCCCTCATTCACCAGTTTTGATCAACAACGTCAATCTATCAAATAGGCCTTCCTCTCCTTCTCCCACCATCCCACCCAGCCGCCCAATCGCCCACCCATATGCCAGCCAACGTATCACCAAAGTCCGCCTACCACTCTCCCGCAAAGATTTCTCAGACCCCCCATCCACAACATCAGCCTCAACAAATACCTTTCCCCTCTCCTCTGAGAACCACTTTCGTCCACCCACCATCGCGCCTATCACCACACACCCCGATGTGGACTTCTCAGCAGGTGCTAAGCGCAGACACGCTGTCATGATGATGCTCGATTCAGCGCCTTCAGCAGCCTCCGTAGATGTGTCTTCCTCTCCGGGTAGTAGTGCTGCTTCCCCCGTCATGTCCGGTTCGGGAAACGCGAGAAGGCGGACAAGGAGTCAGCGTTCCGCAGGTCACGTGCAGGCACAGGTTCAATCGGGAGACTCGATGGACGTAGAAGAAGATGGCCCACAAAGAAAGCGCATCGCAAGACGATGAACTTGGGCTAGATGTACAGGTGTGTTGACTAAGTGTCTCTTAGATCTGACTAATGCTAATGCAGGTAGAATCTTCCGTTTTACTAGTTACAGCTCTCCCTCTCCTTTCTTTTCTTTTCATTCCATGACCATGGCCTTTATCACATATTGCACACCGTTTTATCCCCCATGCATGTTTTCGACATGTCCCTTCCAGCCATCTAACTGTTCACTCCCCATTTGTATCCCTTCCATGTCCCTTTGGTAATTCCACCATGTAACGACTTCCATCCATGTGATACCACCCCACCGGCCTGGCAATTAGCAGTCACTTCCACTTTGCGACGTCTAATTGGATTCTTTGCAGGTAACCCAGTGGTTCACTGGCAGGTGAATATTGCATTTGGCAGGGTGAGGAGGTGGTACACGAGGCAGACACGAAACCTGGTCGAGGTAGAAGCATGGCAGTAATGACTACATATCGTCATCTACGGCCAGCTGCCTCATTGCAATGGTGTATCAGAGTTGTATCAATACGTACGTCCAGGGCAAGGGGCCAGGGGAAAAATAGCCACGATCGTCAGATCTAAATAACCACTCTGATTAAACATTGTGTAAATATGGACGGTACTGAAGTATTTAAGTCAAGACGCACGGTCTATAAACTTGACCGTGAGTTTGGTTTCTAGCATTCCCGCCATTGTTTCAACCTGAACAGATCTGGGGTGAGTTATTTCCCTCAAATTCTCGGGAATCTTGTCGTATCGCTAGAGCCCAGCAGCCTGAGGTTTAGCAGTGATACCTTGGATGAGATAACGACGACACATGATTTTCCTGGCTAAAGACTGACATGAACAAGCCTAATTATTCTACATAAAGTTACAACAAGCGTACAAAGACAGAACACTGGAACGAGGATATGGATAGCTAAGGAAATATTTTCCAAGCGTCCGTCAACCTTCTACCACTCCTCCAACAGTCAACCGAACCATGGGTTCTCATCTCCTTCTAGCAGCCAAGGGACCAAATAAAGAAAACATGCGCTGGGGAGCGGTGCAGGTGCGTGTGGCACTAGTGACGATGGTGCATAAAGGCGCGGACCTGGGACAGCGATTGGCGCTCCATCAGCCTTCCGTCCTGATCTAATCGAACGTCCTTCACTCACCAAACATGGTCAGTGCTAACAACAGAGGTGGACACATCATTTACGCTTCGTGCGCGGGACGTTAATCCCGCCAGCGAAGCCCCCATACGAGGACGCGAGAGAGGCGTATGCAGCCTCAAAGTCCTTTGTCTGCCGCTCGCTTTTGTTGCTGCCGTTTTCAGCGGCAGTGTGAGGAAGAGCGGGGGATTGTCTGTGTGTCTTGGGAAGGAGGTCTGCAGTAGAACTCGAAGCGTTTGAACTGGGGTAGCCACTGTATGCGGTGCTGGTGTGTTTGTGGCTTGGCATGGTAAGAGATGTCACAATGTGGGTGTAGACGCGGGTAGGCTGAGGGGCGGGGGTGATCGAGGGGGCTTTCTGTGTTGTTTGGCTTCTATGAGGCTGATGTATGAGGTATGTTTTCACGTCCGGGTTTTATACTGTTGGAGGTTCACTTCACAATCAGTGTTGCAAATTGCAACTGTCTGTCTTGCGTGCGCGGCCGCAGGTTCCAGGTAGGCAGGTACGTCCTCATAAGTTAGAGTTTGCCCACCGTCTCGCGTCGTTGGATAACCGTAGTTGCTGAAGGAGCACAGGCACCCTTGAACTTAGCTTGATGGCATGATGCGTTATAAAATGAGGGGTTATCGATTGGTTGATTAACTAGTTTGCCTGGTGATCCGAACTACGGAACCTTGCCAAGACAAATGGATGTTGAAGGAGGGCGAAATCCTCCGAGAGACGCGCAGCCCTTCTGACTCCTTCAAATGCCCCTATATCGGGACAACTGTACTGCGCGTTCCATGCGCCCGTGCCACGATCAGTTCAGCGCGCGACAGGTATCAAACACTCCCCGCAACATCAACGATGCCAAGGTGTACAAGCATGATGCCGAACACCAGGGTTGAGTAATTCGCAGGACATAAGGGGAGCGAAGTTCCTGCCATCGGTTTGTCTGAGGTGCATTGCACACAGAAGCACATCCTATAACGAATATTATTCCCCACAGAAGCAACCGACCTTAGCTCAGTTGGAAGAGCGCGAGACTGTAACGGATACAAAAAAATCATCTTGAGGTCGCCTGTTCGAGCCAGGCAGGTCGGATTCGTTTTGTGGCTTGTGGCTGCCTTTTTTTTGTCCCGATGATCCAGTTCCACCACCTGCCACTCCGACCGCCTTCTTCGTCAAAAGTTTGTTCAACGTAAGTATTGTTACAGCCCGTCGAAGCCAAGTCGAAAAGTGCGGAAGAAAAATAGAAGGCCACGCGTACGCCTCGCGCGCTAGTCTACAGTAACACCCTTCCCTCTCAAGTCATTCTTCGCGTCGTTAATTTCCTGTTAAGAATTATCAAGAGTTAGACGTGTCGGTTCGTCAGGAGGTTGAACAGTAGGAGTTTGAAGATCAAAAGGGCTGTAGGGATGCTCCTACACAGCGTCAAAACGCACCTTCAGCAGCTCATGATATGCCTCCGGGCAATCCCTAAATGTGAATACCCCCCAGCCTAAACTCCAGAGGGAGTATGACCCAAAGGTGACAAGCAACCACCACGGAATCTGTAGGAGTTGTCAGTCAGGATGCCCAGCACTGGACATGATGGCCCCGGAAAACTGAAAGAACGATGACATACGAGAGGCAGTATTTGCGCTGAAACGTCGGCGTCGATGAGAGGGATGGGTATCACTGAGAAGAGAGCTAGGAAGTAAAGCGCGAGGAATACTGATGTGTACGCTGCGACACGGTGTGCACGAGCCATGTGTGAAGTGTAGACCGTGGGCTTGAAGAAATGAGTAGATGATGGACGAAACAGAAGATACTGGAGTTCACAGGTTGCCGGCTCGTTCGCCTGTTCGTCGTCGCGGACTGTAGTTTATCGCTGTCTAATGATGGGTCTGGGCCAAAAGAGCGGTTGAGTGAGGCAGAGCGAGGCAATCACGTGGATTGTTCATACTTAGTTATGATTATGATACTATTGATAGCCCGACTCCGAGTCAATGTATAGTTCCACTTCCGAATCGCTCAGGTGCCAGTAACACTTGCTGCAGTTGCGCTAGGTTGTTCTCCAGGTTGGGGCTCAAAGTGTCTAAATAACGCCTCGCCGAGTTTATCCTCTCATCCCACTCGTTCGTTTCTTCCTGCAGCATCATGATGGTGTAAAATGTCTGCACCTGGTTCAAGCGCTCTTCTACCACCTGGCGAGCGTAACGATGGTGGGCAGAAGGGACACTAAGGACTCGCGACAACATTCCCTCAGTGACTGCATCTACAATGGCTAATTTACCAGACTCTGGTAACGGTACCAGGTATGCAGTAGGTCTGATCGATGCCAGCCACAGTGACCAGCATAAAGGCAGCCGGCAGTGCTTTCTGTGCGACGTGGAGCCAACCAAACGAAAGTACATTGTGCAGCGTTGTGCTCCGTCTATAGTGCTGGTGTGTAACGTTCAACGTTCAACGCTCAAGATCGGAACGCTTCCTGCCTGGCACGCCTAACTTTCTATGGGACGTCACGTCGTCGTGCTGGCCCGTTGTCTGGGTCATACCATTCTGATTCTGCCGTCATCGCCCGGTCCAATGTAGTGAGCCGCTTCGCTGGTTGAGACCCCTATACTCGTTTGAAGCTTGATTAATGCCCCACATGGTGCGTGTTCTGATTGGAATTTGGTTCCATATGATACCCTACTTACCTCAAATGACTTGGAACACAACTTAGAGTCTGAATCTAGCTCATTGATCATTGCTGGGCCAGTGGGCCCCAGGGCTTCCGCAGCTCAATGCAGAGACTTGCAGAACGATCCGACTCATCATCATTCACATCAATATTCACGTAAACAAGATCTGTCAGTTCCATTAATACCTTATGGTGAGGCTGAGGCTGCCTGGATAGCTCATAGTGGCAACTTCTCGTTGGTTATGAGCTGAGATCTCTTTTCCACAAATGTCGCATGCCCTGAAAGAGCGATCTTTCTCTTCGTTCTCGATGCCCCTGTACTGGTCTCAATTACGTCCGCTGCATGTCCAATGTTGAAGGTTCTACCTTCAACGCACAGCATCGGAACACTGCCTTCCAGAGACTTAACCTGCTATAGGATGTGCTGATCTCGATGCGACACCATTCTGATTGTCGTTGCATTTCTCTATATATGCTCACACTCGGATCATTATCTCATAGTGATTTCGGCGGCTATTTATGTACTCGTCTTCTAGACTCCTGGTTGAAGATCAGCACTTTGCCTCGATCTGTCGGTCCTCATTGAATACCTAGAACAAGGCACTACCCTTCAGTCCAAAGTGACGAGCCGCTTCGCTGGCTGCAGCCTGGGTGATTGGGCTCATGCCCTATAACTCGTGTGGTACGTGAGCTAGTTTGATTTCGTTAATGTTTACTAAGTCATGAACGTAACCTCGGCTAGCGAGAAGCACATAGCCTTGTAAGCAGGCACTGAGGCAGCTAACAGGGAGAGTATTGGTAAATCGCCGAGGTGAATCGGGCATTATTGTGCTGGCAGTTTGCCATACAGGAGAAATCAGAGCGGATATAAATATGTCCAGGATGGACTGGTCAAGCACGATTGCCCCTCAGCAACCCCTCAGTGACCTTACTTTCACTTTGAGAGCCTAGGGTGGTGTCATGTCTCTGACTACCCTGTTATTGTTGCTGGCCGGTTTAGCTGGTGCATATACGAGCCCCTTGAGGGGCCGTTCATCGCCGACTGTGACGCTGGACAGCGCTACCGTTACAGGAGTCTCATCCGGATCCGTGAACTCGTTCCTTGGGATCCCATTCGCGCAACCCCCGTACGCCCATTTGACTGACCAACTTTGCTGTCCACTGACCGAAACACAGGATAGGAAATCTTCGCTTCCAGCTCCCCCAAGGTCTATCACCATATAACACCAGTTTTTCTGCCACCACATACGGACCCGCATGCCCACAACAAGCTGCAGAACTCCCCGTGGTGCTAGGTCTCCTTGTTGAGGCGTTTGAATACCTGACGAACACCACCTTCGATTTTGTCATACCTTCTGCAGAGGATTGTGGGCAGTTTTCAGGCTTCTCCTAGTCTGGGTGTTGATCATGACGACAGGTCTAACATTGAATGTCGTCGCGCCTGCTGATGTTGCCCCTGATTCCAAGTTACCTGTCGTTGTGGTAGGTCTGAAGGCGTCTATTATCTTTGTTGGGTCACTGAGCGACGGGTTTGAACAGTGGATTTACGGAGGCGGATTCGAAGGAGGTGGTACAAGCCAGTAAGTTCTGAGTTCTACAGCGTTTATTAGATTGCTACAACTTTGATCACAGGTACAACGGCAGCGTCATCGTGGAGAAGGCGATCTCGCTCGGCGTCCCAGCTGTCTATGTGAGCATGAATTATCGGTGAGTAGCGCATTGCGATTTTCGTGACTAATAACTCATGGGAACGACTCAGTGTAAGTGGTGAGTATGTGCGTTCTTCGAACGCTCTGTTATTTTCCGACTCCTTGTAGCGTTCGGGTTTTTGGCAAGCCAAGAAGTCAGAGATGCCGGGGTTGGAAATCTTGGCCTCCAAGATCGTATGTTACCCTTGCTTCTGTGTATCACTCTGATAATTTTGAAGCATCGGTTAGAACGGCTGGCTCTACACTGGGTACAGAAATACATCGGTGCTTTCGGCGGAGATCCGACTAAGGTGACCATGTAAGCACGTCCTATGCATCCGCCTTCCTCCTGCCACATGCAATAAACGATATCGACTCCAGCTGGGGACAGAGCGCAGGTGCTATTTCCGTCGCACTCCAGATGGTGACGAATAGTGGGAATCCCGAAGGTTTATTTCAAGCTGCGTTTATGCAAAGTGGATCGCCCATCCCCGTTGGCGATATCACACACGGTCAGAAATATTACGACGCTCTCGTGTACGACACTGGATGTTCGAACGCGTCTGATACATTACAGTGTTTGCGTGAGGTTCCCTACGAAACGCTTCTCGATGCGGTGAATCAGTCTCCAGAAATATATTCGTATCAGGTGGGTCGAGGGGGCTTGGCTTTGGGTATGTTTGCTGATTATTGAATGTTTCGAGTCACTTGTCCTGGCGTGGCTGCCACGCGTCGATGGCGTCTTCTTGACTGACGACCCACAAAACTTGGTCCAACAAGGTTTTGTCGCAGATATACCATTTGTGACGGGTAGGTCTTAATCTCATGGCTTTCTTACCTAACCTAATGATGCATACTATAGGTGATTGCGATGACGAAGGGACATTTTACTCCTTCTCCACCCTAAACATAACGTAAGTTACGTCCCCTACATCGCATCACACAGCTCACGGACCAAATACGATTTATCCTCTTAGGACCGACACACAATTCGAGGAATACGTACAAACCTATTGGTTACCCAATGCAACATCAACCACGATACAAGAGCTTTCGCAATACTATCCCGCTGATATTACCCAAGGCTCGCCGTTCGACACAGGCGTACTCAATACACTCACCCCTCAGTTCAAGCGTCTCGCTGCTTTTCAGGGTGATATTATTTTTCAAGCTCCGAGACGACACTTCTTGCAGAATCGGTCGGGAAAGCAGGCTCTGTGGACATACGGTATGTCGGTCGGCCATCTGGAACGCAGGGGCTGATCAGCGTGGTTGTTCCTAGTGAACAAACGTTTAAAGACAGTCCCTTTCCTTGGCTCTGTGAGTTTATTCCTGACCTTACCCGCCAACACCCTCCCTGATTTCCATCGTGTGAATATCTCTAGTTCCACGGTTCCGACCTCTTCAATGTCTACGGGGGACAAGATATGGCGTCCTACCTCGTCCGCTTCGTCAGCAACCTCGATCCTAATGGCGGCACGGATTTGTACTGGCCGCAATACACGACCGCGGAGCCAAACATGCTGGAGTTCCTCGATGGGCTGATTCCGCAGGCACTCACCGGGGATACGTATCGTGTCGAGGCGATGGAATTTCTTACGAATGTAACGTTGACGTATCCCTTGTAAAGGGTATCTAGATTGTTATAAATAACCGTACCACAAAGCGATCGCCTGTAGGTCAGATATGTACCCCAGGCAGACGAGGGTAGTTCTATATCTTAGCACTCAGCACTTAGCAGTCAAACA